GCTCAGCAGAACCTGGGCCTAAGCGATGCCAGTTTTGGGGGGGGGGGGCGCCAAGCACCGGCTTCCCCCGCCTTCCTCGATTCATCAAACCGTTCCAGTGCTCCCAGTTGCGGCATGTCCTCTTCCCGCTTTTTAGCAGGAAAGACCGAACCGTCTCCCTCGTTGCCTCACAACAGGAAGGAAAAGGGGTCCCCTTTCGCCTTATAAGGCCCCGAGCCCTGGGGGCCAGGCTCCTCCCTGCCGCACCTGTCCGGTCAGGACCGGCTCTGTGCCGCTTCAGACCCTTCGGTTCCGGTGCGCTTTGCAGCCTTCCGGATGTTCCGGCTGCTCCCTGCCCTCACCTGGGGCTGCTGGCCAGGGCTGCTCGTGGGCCCCCCCCCCCCCCCCCCGGCCCGCCAGGTGGCCTCCCCCCCCCCCCGAGTCCACGTGTGATGATGCCACCTTGCTGTGAGCGGCCCTGGCCCTACAGATGGGGCTCTGCCCCGATCCTCCGCCCCTCCTTCCCTTGAGCTCTCCCTGCACCTCTTCTCCGGTGCCCTCTGGCTGGGTTGGACTGTAACTCCCATCCTTCCCAGCCAGTCCAGGGATGATGGGAGTTGCACCCCCATGCTTCTGGAGGCTGGGGGAACGCCGTCTGAGGCAAGGAGGAGATCCTGGTGGCCCCAACATCGCAGGGGCCAAGGGCCCACCCCAAAAGTAGGTGTGCCGCTCCGGATTTCAACTCAAGATCTGACCCTGGTCCAATCCAGCAGGGCGCTTAGTGGGCTGGAGGAAGGGGTTGTGCTTCTTGCTTGTGTGTGTGTTTCATTTTACAAAGCACGCAGCTCCTTTGCCCGTTGGGCAATCCCCGTGCGGGAATGAAGCTGGGCTCCAGTCCCTCGCGCCGTGTGCATTTCTCCGTGCGGAGCCGTTGGTGTCGCTGGGATTTAAATGAAAAATGGCACTCAAGGGTCTGTCGAGATGCCTATCTGGTAGAGTCCTCCCATCCTTCAGGCTTGAGACTCTACCAGCTCACCCCCTTCTTCTGTGGATCAGGGTTGAGAGCATATGAAGATGCAGGGTGGCCAGGGAGGCGGTGCCGGGCTCTCTCTGGCTCCACGTTGGGCTGGGCGACGCCTCTGCTGCGGTTTATTTCTTCAGCGGCCAGGGAGACTAGATGGCCTCCAAGTCCCTCCTGCCCTGGCGCCTTGACTGCCACGGTACCTGCTCGCTCGGCCTTGCCATGCGGACAGCCCCGGGGGCCACTCTGGACCGCACGGTTCCACAGGCTCTCTCAGAGAATCTGTGGGCTGTGCGGCTTCGGTATATTTACATCGGAGGAGGGGGGCAAGTGCCCCACGAGCATGGCAAAGGCGGTGGTAGGAGCTGGCCCAGAGCTGCGGGGTTCTGGGCTCTTTCCTCTGGAGCCCCCAATGCGTGGGAAGCCCTCCGGCCCACCACCCTCCTGCCCATGGGCATCGCTGCCAGAAAGACCCAGCAGCTGCCCCAGGATCTGCCCTGCCTCTGAGCCCCTGGATGGGCCACCTGGGCCTCCCCAAACCCTCGTGCTTGGGGGGCTTTCCTGAAATCACATGCTGCCCGCTCCCCAGTCCGTACAGCCCCCTTGAGGCCTAGACTGGCCCTTTAGGCATCCGTGCATGCAAATTGCAGGTGTCCCATCATTCCCAGCTAGCCTGGAAGAGCTGCAATTCTGTGGCTGCAGCAAAGGGTCCCTTTTCCGAGACACCAGGGCAACCCTGAGATGGTGCCATCAAAGGGAAGCTCATCTCATCCCTCTCCTTCTTGGCTGCAGTGCTGGCTGGGGATGATGGACATCGAAGTCCAACACATCTGAAGGGGGAGAACTGCCCTCCCCAGCAGTCAGGAAGGCTTCGCCCTCCAAAACCAAAGTCACCCTATGGCAGAAGGGGGAAATGCGTGAGATCGTCGGATTTGGGGGGGTTGGTTGCTGGTCAGGGGTCGGGGCCACGGCTGCCACGGACAGAATCACGGTTTTCAATTTGTGAGAGGAAATAAAAACTCAGGTTCATGAGAAAGCTCAAACGTTCAACCCTCCACTGCTTTATTAACATAAGCCCAGGTTCCCTGCAGGTTCAACTCACGATAATGCATTACCGGGCATAGGTAGACTCAACTGCGAGATTTCAGTACAAATACAGAGCATTTCATACTCTCCCAATCACGGACAGAGGTACAGAGCAATTAATGTCAGAGTGCAGACATTACAATGAAATTCTGAGGCCATCATATACAGAACAGATGAAGGAATGTCAGCCAATCATACAGTGACAATGAGATTACAATATTTCTCATTGCAGTGGATTGACATTTCAGTTGAGTAAATTCCAGAAACTTGAACGCAACTCCGGGTCTGCTTAGACATGTAAATTCAGGCTATTGAGAAAACTTCCCTGAAATCATAAGCCCATGTGTTACATTCCATTATCAGGAAGGATGAGACTCGGAGTACTGGATCCACACCTTTCCGACTGGCCAGGGCACACGGAGCGCTCTGGGCCAGCAAAATAGATACTTCCTGGTAAACGTGGAGAATTCCTGCAGGGTCTATGCAGCAACACTGTAGCAGTGAATGTATTCGACTGAATGGGAACTCACGTTTTTCCTGTCTGCTCTTTGCCCATAGCCAAGGCAGCGGGAGGAAGGAATGTCAGCAGTTTCTGTCGACATTCAAAATGGATTCTGGAGTTGCACCATGCTCATTCTTCAAAAAACACCATACATCCTTAAAATCTGAGGTTTGAATATGATTTATTCAGGCCTCTTTTCCAACGCCACCAAGGACCACATGGGCCCGAGCAGCCTCGTTTCACGCCAGCGCCTTCCGGCCCTGCGCCAGCCGCCGCAGGGCGTCCGCCTCCAGCACCATGCAGTGCCACTGCTCCGACTCCGTGGTGTCGTGCGCCCCGAGGCGCGTGTAGAAGTCCTTGGCCTCACGATTCCACTCCATGGTCACGAACTTAATCTCGGTGCAGCCCGCCTGGAGTGCAACCTGCATTCGGGGAGAAGAAGAGGCAGGGTGACCGGGCAGCTCCCTCGCTCCGAAATCGAGTTACGGGGAATCTCTTCCCAGGAGATCCCAGCTGGGGTCGGGGGCAAGTGTGGCTATGTATTTATTTATTTAAAACATTTCTATGTCGCCCCCATCGCAACAAAGCCTCGGGGAAGCTCACAAAACATACATAAAAACATACATAAATAATAATATAACAATTTAAAAGAAAAAAAACATTAAAAAACCCCCGGTGCATTCTCGGCTAAAAATGTTAAAATCCTAATTAATACAATAATTTAGCAATTAAAATAAGTTTTAAATGAAAAGGTCTTCGCCTGGCGCCGAAAAACAAATAACAACAGCACCAGGCGGAGCTCTCTGGGGAGCGCATTCCACAGATGGGGCGCCACCGCAGAGAAAGCCCTCCTCTGAGTAGCCACCCTCCTAATTTCTTTCACGGAGGGTTCCCGGAGAAGGGCCTCTCCCGCCAATCTCAAGGGGCAGGAGGCAAATATGGAAGCAGGCGTTCCTTTAGGTAACCAGGTCCCACTAGGCTGGCCCAGCCACCTCCCCGGAACTAAGGCAAGAAGAGACGGACAGAAACCCCTCTCTCCATTTCCTCTGCACCACCTCCGAGTTTACAACCCTGTGAAAATCCCTAGGCCTGCCACCTTTCCATCGGTCTAGGGTTCTAATGCTGCTTGGCAGGCAGACGTTCTGATGGTGCAGCTTCACTTTGCATAGCACTATGGAGATGAAAAGCGTTTGCCTGTTTTTCCAGCCAGGAGGCCGCTGTGCATCCCCCAGAAACGAAATACTACAAATCCCATTCTTGTCCACTGGGCGCACCAGAGGACGGCACTCTGTCCTGCCAGTCAGCATGGCGGGACAGAGGTGGCTTTTATGCAAAGCACCTGTGCCAAAAGGAGAATCCTAGGAGAACCAGGCTGGATTGGACTCACCTCTGCTAGTTTGCCCATGAATTCCTTCCCGATCCCCGACCCTGGCAGAAAAGATGGATGGAAAGAGAAATCAGGTCGGGACAATGTGCTAGAAGCGTATCCAAATTAGGTCACAGATTCATCAAATAATCAAGCTGGAAGGGGCCAGGAGGCCAGCAGGTCCAACGCCTGCTGTTGCATGTTACCAATTGCAACACACCTTTTGGACGGCTGCCCAGCTGCATCCTGAATGCCCCCAGTGTGGGAGCGGCCACCTCCGCCCCGGGCTCCACGTTCGTTCTGCTCTAACAGCCAGGAAATTGTCCCTGGTATCTAGCCAGAATCCGGCTTCAATATCTACTTCTGTCTCTATATGTACAGTACATTTCATGCAAACACGATGCCATCTAACATCAAGCAAACATATGAAAGACAGAAAAATGGATCGTGTCTATTATTCCTCTGGCTTGTAAGTACATGTTGCATCGTGCAGGGGGCCGGTTTTAGTCCTGACAAGTTGACGGTTCTTCATAATGTTCCTCTTAGGATACGTCACAAGAAATTTTCTCTGGGTTGCAGGTGAGAGAAGGGTCAATAAAACGGAGTTGTTTAAACAACGATGTGAAAGGAAAACACATCAAGATCAGGGCTACTCCTGGTTTATAAAAAGAGTACAGGGGAAGGGGACTACCTTTACCAGCCTTAGCAATTTTACTCTTGCTTTGCACGAAGTTGTAAGAAAAATAACTACCCTCTGTTGTCTCCTCCGTTCAAATTTTCCATTTACAAAGCAGGAGAAGCAAAGGAGAAAACAAAGACCTTAATCGCAACAGTGTTAATTAATGGCTGCAGCAATTCTATCGGAGTTGCATTTTTCCTCCTGTGACATTTCAACTAGTTTCCGAGGTGCAAACTGTCCTCCTCCTTTGCACTCTTTTTAACATCATGGTCAGCAATTAAACTAGTCCGTTATGTAGATAAGCCTTCAGATTTTATGAGCTCTTCCATTCAGATTGCAGCAATTTTCCTTCAGGTCCAGAGTCTTGTGATAACTCGGTTGCTACCTCCCTACTCCTGGGATCAACAGCTTCAACCCACGTGCTCATTCACACGCTGGGCTGGCACAAGCCTCCTATTCATGTCATGTGGGGCAGCTGCCTTCCTGCCCCTGCAAGTCGGATCTTAACCCATAATAGAGCGAAAAGGCCAGGGGGGCAGCCAGGTCACATGCCTCAAAGGAGTTTTCTCACTCTGCTGATTTGGGGGTATCTTAAATACCATTATAATTATTATTATTAATTATTTTTGGTGAACCTTTGCACTAACATATTAGCTGACAGCCCGTTCCGGTTGAGCTGGACTCAGTGTCCTGGAAATTTCTCTTTGTGATGCTCAAGGGAAGGACATCACCTAGGAAACCTGTTCGCACACCCTTTTTTCCCTGCAAAGGGGACTCATTATAAACACTTATCCACTAAGCTCTCCTCAGTTCTGTAGCCTTTTTCTTCAGTAGCTTTTTCCAAATCAAACCTCAGTTCACCCCAAATGGGGACTGTGATACGATTCCATGCAGCTTTATACAATCACGTCAGTATTTTGGAGGAAAGACGTGTTCTGCACAGAAAACCCAATAGAATTAATTCTCCTGGGTCTGGCACACTTTATAAACCAGGAGTCACTTCACTGGAATGGATCAGCTCCAGAGGTGTGTCAAACCACAGGGGGTGGGGATGGAGGAGTCGCCCCCCCCGCAGTCCAAGGTGCAGCCCGAATGCCCTCGGCTAATAGGCCTCTTCTTACAACCACATGGAGAGCAGTCATAATTGTCCATTTTTTTTCACCCGACCCTCAACCAGCGTCCTCTGGATGCACTAGACCGCAACTTCCATGATGAACAGTGGCCATGCTGGCTGGGGAAGATGGGAGATGTAGTCTTCCACATCTGGCGAGCACCAGCTTTGTGCTGGAATAAGCAAATAGGCACATGCCTGGATGTCTGTCTGTCTGTCTTTTAGAAACAAACTTTTGAATGACTGATTGAGATCAAGACTGAGCCTTTCTGGACCAGAAGAGAAGAGAATCGCTCAGCTATCGCCCTTCCCAAGCTTCCTTCTGATCCTTTTCTAGCTGTTACCCCATTTAGACCTGTGATGTTAGATTCTCACTGCTTGCCACTAACTCGTCCTGCTTTTTCCATTTTGTCCAGAATCGGTGTACTATTCGGGGGCTCAGGGTTAAGGATGGAAGGATACATCCATTTCTGTGACAGTCGCATCGAGAGACCTCAACAAGACCTTCTTCCAGAGGGTCTCCACCTACCTCTGAATTCAGCCACCACAAAGAGGTTTTCCAGGTACATAATCCTCCCGTGATTGACATTGTACCCGAAGAAGTACAGTGCGTAGCCGATGGTGCGAGCTGCAGGGGGGAAAGGAAAGAACCGCTCTTCACACCTGGAGTAGAGTGGGGGTGATGACAATAGCCACACCATGAGAAAAATTTTCATGTTTGATTTCCTTGACTGAGACTTACTCATACTTTGCATGCTGGTGTAAAATGTACATCTGAGCTTCACAGATCAATAAATGCTAAATTTGGAATTCAGGTTACACTCAGTGCAAAATGAGAGTTGATTCATGAGCTGTACTCTTTGGTTCTGGGATTTACTAAAAGGGTACCCCCCTCACCCCAGTGGACTGAGAAACACGTATCTCTCCCGTAGATTATACAGTTAAACGTGTGAACTGGTCGTTCACCTGCAGGGCTCCAACAGCAACAGTTTCCCCTTTCTGTATTTTGCTACCTGGAGCAAAACTCCTGTTAACTCTTCCATGAGGAAGGAGGTCCTGAAATTTGGGGCGCCTGTTACCTTGCTTGCTTTCATTTTCGGCAGGTGTTTCAGCCAATATGCACTTGAAAAAGGGATGCTCCCCAAATCCGTCTGCTTTCAAAACTGGGCAGGGGAAGAATATATCAGGCATGACAAAAGTGGATTTTGAGTGCCCCCTTGTTGCTCATCAACCCCGCCCCCACCCGCCAAATGGGAGCTGCTGTTCTTTGAGAAACACAATTGTGGGAAGTGGGGGGGGGGCGGGGAGGTTTCGTCAGTTGGAATTTGAGGGAAGGTGGGAGGTGAGATTTCGGTGAGTGTGGTGGCACCCCAGAACATTAAACACGTCTGACAGGGTGTACATATTCTGGGATGGCCGCAGGCAAGCTGGAAACATATACTAGGACTTTCAGAGCTCAAAACCTGGGGAGCTGCAGCTTTTACGCCAAAACTCAGCTTTGCACAGGTTGGAAGCATCCTTGTGATGCAGCTGCACCTGTGGACACAGACCCTGCCAGGTGGCCAGCAGGTCCTCCCCTCCCTCCCCTGGCAGGTGGGGGGCTGCCTCAGAGAGGGGGGGGGGGGGGTTAAAACGCTTTCCAGGGGGGCTGCGAAGATCTCCTCTCGAGTCTGCCCCCTAGTGTCCAAGCGTGGTATTACAGGCTTCAAGTAGACTTGCATTAATTAAAAGGTGTTCATGCATTTTAAAAGTTAAACAAGCATTTAACCTGCACGCTGCGGGGTCTCCTGCCACTATGATGCTGACGGACAACGGACCCCCAGCCTCTCCTGATTCTAGATGGGGACGGAAAAATGAGAACATCAATCCTGGGAGGAGCAGGAAGAGGCGGAGTGGGCCGGGCTAGCTTGGGATCCACCTGGAGACCCTGTGCAGCGAGGGGCTGCACTGACGCGCTCTCAGCAGCCTTACTTTGAGAATTGATGGTCACGTCCTCCAGCAGGTTGTGGTACGCAGCAATTTCCTGGCGGGGGGAACAGAGGAAGGTGCTTCATTGCGGATGCGTGACACTCGGCCGTCCAGCCTCTGCTCCGGATTGGCTGCAGAGACGCCTTTCCCTGGAAGCGCTGCCAGGGATCGGGGCCACCTGTGGGGTGCAACGATGCTCCAGGGGAGCACCGAGGATCCTGCCCTGCGTCTGGTGCTCTCCAAATGGCTGGGACTGCAATCCCCATCATTCCCCGGCAGCATGGGAGTTGTGCTGCCACACATCTGGAAGGCTGCAGGTTACAGAAGGCTGGGAGGGCTGGAATCCCCTCCCCCCCAGTCCCCCAGCGTCCCTTTCTTCATTCAGGGGTACAGCATGGGGAAGGGGCGCGTTTTGTGGTGTCCACTGTGACAAACACGGAAGGGGCGACCAGGAGGCCAGGCCTCCTCTGAGCACACGCAGACTGCAGGGGCACAGGGGCGGGCAGGAGCGAGCAAAGCCTGGGCGCAGGACCCTCGCGGCCCCGGGCCGGTGTCCCGCTCCGGGTGGGGGGCAGCGGCTCACCTGTATGAGGCCCATGAGGAGGTCGCAGTCGTCGCTCGTGGCGTCTCGGAAGACGCACGCCATCCTTCCCGCGGGGCGAGTGACTCGGCGCTGCACCCGGGCGCGGAGGCAGCTGCCCTTTATAGTCCCGGCCGCTCCCGCTGCGCGGGCGAGCCGGATGTCTCCTGGATCCCGTCCAGCTGGGTCACATGGACGCCGAGAGACGGCTCGACCCCCTCCCGCGTCCCGCCGCAACGGGGGTCGCAGCTCTGCGGGGCGGAGAGGCGGGGGCGGCGGCGCGGCGGCGCTCCGGGGGCTGCGCGGCATCCGCCGAGGCGCCCCCGGGGGTGGGGAGCTGCCCGCCCCGCGCTCCTCGGCCTCCGGGAACGGCCTCCTCGCCCTTCCCGCCGCCGCCTCCGCCAGCACCGCAGGACGGCCCGATCCGCCCCCGCGCAGCCGGCGCCCAAGGGGGCCGGCGCCCCCGCGTCTCCGCGGGAACGGGCTTCCTCTTCCCCTTCCCCGCGGCGCGCACGGCGGGCTGCTGCTCTGGCTCTCGGCGAAGAGGTGCTGGGGCTCGGCCCTTGCTGGGGAAGCTTCAGCTCCAGGACTCCCTTTCCCTTTCCCTTTCCCTTCCCTTTCTTTTCCTTTCCCCTTTCCCTTTCCCTTCCCTCCCTTCCCTTTCCCTTTCCCCTTCCTTTCCCCTTTCCCTTTCCCTTTCCCTTTCCCCTTCCTTTCCCCTTTCCCTTTCCCTTTCCCTTTCCCTTTCCCTTCCCCTTTCCCTTTCTTCGGTCTCCTTGTACTTTCTTGTTATTTTATTTTAAATGCGCTACTGGTTTTTATTGTGTTCGTTTTATCTTGCCGTTGTGAGCTGCCCAGAGGGGCCGTGGCACAACTGAGTGGCAAGCAGATGCTTTAGATGGGTAAATAAGAAAAGCGTCGCAATGGGGAATCACACCGAACGGAACTGACAGGCGCAGCCAGTTCACGAGAAGAAACGGTTTCCTTTTTTCCTATTCCATGAGGACCAGGAACCGAATGACTCACTACTTCCATGCTAAAAGCTTTTGGGACTTCAGCCTCCTGTTTTGGGGGGCCAGGACAAGAAACAAACGGTGCAAGGAAATGCCCCTGACTGTTATTTATTTTAACAATGCGTAGCCCACTTTCCCACACTCAAGGCCACTCAGGGCACAAAAAGTAACAAAGAAGAAACCGAAACAAGCAAAACAAACAACAACAGTCTCATGGAAACAGCAAACATCAAGAAGAGACAAACCCATAAAATGTAAGGGGGGGAGAGCTTGGCCCGATACCAGAGAATATTCATTGGAAGAACTTCATTGGATAACTGGATTACCCCGAAAGATGCAGCTTCTTTGACTCATCGAGAACATGAGCATGGACGGAGGCCCACTGCTAAGAAGGCCGTCGTATGCACCCGGAGCTCTGCAGGCAGGGTAGGCTATACACCAAACTGCACAGGCATACAGAGTTACGATGCAAGAGCAGGCAGCTGGCAGTGCTGCCACTCCACTCTGCCCTTTCAGCGGAGACAGGGAACTGGGCTGCTCTGTAGAATCATGTTTCCCAACCCTTTATTGGGGTCAGGGTTGGCACAAAGCATGGGGTGGAATGAACTCATGTGCCTGAGTCTCTTTTGGCACAACGACTCGAGAACAATATGGTAGTGTTCAGATCTGAACTCTGGAATCAGGGCCGAAGGTTTTCTTCTGCCTGCAGGACAGAAGCCTCAGATAAGCAAGAGGGCTCGCAGTTCCCCGTGCCCTGGATCTGCCAGATCAAGGACAGCTTGCAAAATCGCATTACATAGGCTGGGATCACCTTTGGGCCAGATGAAACTGCCTGGCCAGAGGTGGGAGCAGCTGAGAAAATTCAGCGCAGCTCAGAAATTCCAGGTGCTTAAAGGGGTTTGGGCATGAAAGTGTGAATTCACTGAGCCATTGCTTTGGAATCGTTTTTGCTTCCGTGTTGTGTTGTCTGAAGCTGGTTTTTCTGCCCCCCATTGTACGTTGGTCTTTCTTTTTTAATTTGAATTATGCACTTCTTGGAAGGCCTAAAGAATTTTTGGTGCCAGTCCTCCATCTTAGGCGAAACACTCACAGGAGCTCGGTTCTCCAGGGCAAATACTTCGGAGGCCAAAACAGGACCGTGCACACCCCAGAGGGAGAGTCCACCAAGCTCAGGGAAGTGGAATGGAATATCCTGCGAAGGGCACATCGAACAGGCTGGCACTTCGTCCGGTTCTGCAAACGAAAATACAGTCTCTGTCTCTTACTTGCTCTGGGATCTGATGCCAACTTGTGGCCAGAAAAGGGCACTGGAGTCGGTCCATGTGGCAGAGGGAGGCCTAATCTACCTATTGAAGCATTCGGGATACCACAAGGTTGCAGGCGAGCTTTCGAGAGCTGCAGGAAACTTCAGCAGACCCGGAAAGAAAGAAACGCAGGGGGTTCCTGCAGTGCCAGAGCTAAAGTTCCACTGAAAAGAGGGCGATTTTGAAAAAGCCGTCCTTGAGTAGCCTTTTCTGCGCAGCTCATCATTTCTGCCCATGCTAAACGCATTCCAAGCATCAAAATCCTGCCAGGGCACCTCGTTTTCCTAACCCTAACCCTACCCTGGTGCACACCCCTAACCCTAATATAGGGCTAAAGTTCCATTGAAAAGAGGGCGATTTTGAAAAAGCCGTCCTTGAGTAGCCTTTTCTGCGCAGCTCATCATTTCTGCCCATGCTAAACGCATTCCAAGCATCAAAATCCTGCCAGGGCACCTTGTTTTCCTAACCCTAACCCTACCCTGGTGCACACCCCTAACCCTACTAGAGGGCTAAAGTTCCATTGAAAAGAGGGCGATATTGAAAAAGCCATCCTTGAGTAGCTTTTTCTGCACAGCTCATCATTTTTGCCCCTTCTAAACACGTTCCAACCATCAAAACCATGCCAGGACACCTCGTTTCCCGAACCCTAACCCTACCCTGGCGCACACCCCTAACCCTAATACAGGGCTAGAGTTCCATTGAAAATAATGCAATTTTCAAAAAGCCTTCCTTGAGTAGCGTTTTCTGCACAGCTCATCATTTCTGCCCATGCTAAACACACTCCAACCATCAAAACCATGCCAGGACACCTCGTTTTCCGAACCCTAACCCTACCCTGGTGCACACCCCTAACCCTAATAGAGGGCAAAAGTTCCCTTGAAAAGAGGGCGATCTTGGAAAACCCTTCCCTGAGGGGCAGTGTTTCCCCCTCTGAATTCCCGGGGCCAGCTGAACACCTCCTCCTCGCGGAGGCGCTTTCCTCCCCAAAGGGCATTTTGCAAACCCACTCTTTGGGGATGGGCGGCCTGCCTTTCCACTCTGAGGTTATACGGCCTCCAGCCCCTGCAGGCAATGCCTTAAGGCAGCATGCTGTCCGTCCCCACCCAGCCAGGGCCCAGCCAGGGTGTGTTGGATCACCACTCCCATCATTCGCAGCCAGAATGGCCAACCAGCCAGGGTCAGGGAGGGATGCTGCAGCCGAAAGAGCTTATGCCCAGGGCTGGGACTGGCAGAAGTTCAGGAGCGCCTGGCTTGGAGGCCCATGGCTTGCCAACCCCTGAAGGGGACCCATGGTTTGCTGATGGGTTGTGAGCTTCGGGTGGCCTCTCATCTTGCCCCAGCTCAGACAGAAGGATCACCTGAGTGCTCATGTTGTCTGAACCCATTCAGCGAGAGGGACAGGCTGCTCCTCAGCAGGAAGAAAGGCAGGTATGTCGACCCTCTAAAAAATACAAAATCCAGCAGGCTCCACTCATGACATGCTTACCATGTACGTATCCAAAACCATACTGGCCCGTACGGGGATCGAACCCGCGACCTTGGTGTGATTAGCACCACGCTCTAACCAACTGAGCTAACCAGCCTGCTTCTGCAGCTTTTTAATGTTTTATTTTCTTTTTCTCTTCAATATGTAGTTTAGGTTTTGTTTTCTACAATAAAAAACGAAAAATCTAAAAGAGAATGACATACAAGGAAAGGGGTTGCGGAGGGAAGAGGAAAGAGTTGCTTGGCTGGTGGAATTAGCCTGCTTCCTGTCTCATTTCCTGGTAGGATTGGAAGCAGTCTACCTAGAGCAGGCCCTGCATTTTTGTTGATTGCCTCCTTCACTCTTTCTTTCTTTCGTTCTTTCTTAAGTCGGCTCAAAAAATACCTTTGTTTGGCCAACTCAAAATTCACAAAAATGGGGTTCCGTACTCCTCGGCAGGGCTGTCTTGCTCATTTTTTCTGTGCAACACACAGCTCATAACCAGCGCAGGGGTGAGTGGGGCCGCTCTCTGCACGGTTCATTTTCTGCATGAGAGGCTTTGGTGGTTTGAGTGAACGCAGGCTGCAGTGCCGCAGCCTGGCCGCGCTCTGGTTCTCAGGACCAGCTGCCTGGTCCCCTGCTTCTGCGACTCAGGCCTTGAGTAGCGTTTTTTAAACAGTGAGGCAAACAAAGGATTTTTATTTTTTTTTTATGAACCCAACAGCTAAGCTGAACCTCCATATGGAGAGGCAGTCTAGCACAAAAAAACAACAACAAACAATTAATGCTCCAGTGAAGGTTCTTGTTTCATGCCCAGCACATGAATTTTTCGGAAGCACCAGTGTTTGCTTTCCAGGGATGGCCATGTTTTCTGTGGTTCCCAATTTGGGGTGTGGGGTTACGGTTTAACTGAAAGCAGATTTCAGTTAGACATTAAAGGAAACTTCCTAAATGTGAGAACTGCTTGGGGGCGGGCGGGGGACAAGCAGCTGTCTCAAGAGGTGGGGGGTTCTCCTTTGCTGGAGACACGAGGGCTGAGCCTGCAATGAGCAGGGGTTGGACTAGATGCTCTTTAGGGTACCCTCCAGCCACACGATTCTGTCCAGCCACTGTGGGAAACAGAATGCTGAGTCTGAACAGCCTTCTGGTCGGATCCAGCAGCGCTCCTCCTCCTACCCAGACCCACACAAGACGGGACCTGGCTTGCGGGCACGAAACTTTCAAACTCCATAGCCAAGCCCTTTGCTGAGCAGTGAGCCCCAGATGGTGACCAAATGGGAGAAGCGTGGAGGCTCGGCCTGCAAATGAGCGCATCCTTTGGCACAGCCGGGTCATCCGGGTGCATGCCAGATTAGACTCAGCCAATGCACTCTGTGCATACTCAGAGGCACCGGTGAGAGGTCCGTTAATTTAGGTGCTACAGCACGATGCCAGGCTCAGGAGTGCGAATAATGGAAGAAGACCCCCTGGCAACGCTGGGCAACCCCGACACCTCTGGAGCGCACCTGGCCGGGAAGCTACGGCAGCCCCGAAGGCGTCTCGCACAGGTAGCAGCCCGCAGCCCTTGGGAAGCCGCGAGCGTCGATCACAGGTAGCCTGCCACCGACGCTGCAGGCTCCCCCGACGATGCCGGGAAGGACCCGGGCGCGGGCCGCCCGCCGCCCTCTCCCAAGATGGCTCCCGCGGCCTCCTCTCGCGAGAACGGGCGGCGCGCGGCGAGGCGCGGCGCGCGGGGAATCCCCGGCGCATGGCCCGCGCTCCCGCCGGGCGCTCCTCCGCCAGTGCGCCAGGGCGACCGGCGAGGGAGGCGCGTGTCGGCCGCGCGGGCGAAAAAGGCAAGGGCAGGGCAGGGCAGGGCAGGGCGGGAGCGCGCAGCGGGGCCCCTTCTCCGCCTGGCCGACGAGCCGGCGGGGCGCCTCCGTCCCGCGGACGGCTCTGCGCGGGGGGGCGCCGATCGCCGGGCACGGCGGCGCTGCAGCCGTGGCTGCCCCGCCAAGGGCACGCGCCCCCGGGGCCCCCGAAGCGACGGGGGCGCGGCGCCTTCCCGCCTTCCCCTCCCGCCCCGGCCGGCCTCGGGGAGGAGACGACACGCCGCCGTGCTCACTCGGGAGGCCAGCGGAAAGCGGGGGGTCACCCCCCCCACGCAGCACTGGGGCGCAGCCGTCCCGCTGCCCCCCGTTCCGCCCGAAGGGGCTTGGGCGGCTTGCGCAGAGCGGGAAGGCTCGCGCTCCCGGGGAAGGTGTGCCTGGGGTCGTGGCCTTTTAGCCCCGGTGTTCCGCCCTCTTCCAAAACTTCCGAAGGCTCCGGGAGTGGCGGGTCTTCGGAACTGCGGGGCGAGAGGGGCGGGCGGGACCCGCGCGCGGAGCGGCCGAGGGGAGCCGGTGCTGCGAGGGAGCCGCTGGGCGGACGGCCCCGGAAGCTGGGCGTTGTGCGGCGGGTCTTGCATGCCTTTCCCAAAAGTTCTTTCGGGGCAGGGAAGCGGCCGGGAGAAAGCCGTGCCCAACCGAGCGGCATCGGCCTCAGCACGGGTTCACGGCGCCGTGGGAACCGCCCCGGTGCGGGGTCGCGGTCTTCGAAAGGGTTAACCCCTGTCCTAGGTTTACCCCATTCCGGTCTCTGGGTTCTCCCCCCCTCCGGAAACTGGAATGGTGCGGTCCTCCCCGCATCTGGAATGGTGCGGTCCTCCCCGCTTTGATTCAGAAGGAACCATCGCAAGGCGGGGGAGGCGATCAAAGGTCGATGTTGATACAGGAGCGTGTGGCTCTGATAAATATTTGGAAACTTCAAATACTGATAGAAAGGCGCGCAGCGGAGGGTTTTGAAAGCTCTGTTTGGAGACAGGACAGAGACTAAGTCCTTGTGGTGGAGCTTTTTTTTCATACGCTTCCCCCCCTTAAGGAATGGTATGGCTTAAGACATGTGCTTTTCCTTCCCGGAGGCAGCAAAGAAACGTTTTGAGGACGTTTATGGGGGAAACAGGATGAGAATAGACCTTCCCCTTGAATGAATTCTTCCTGGTATCGGTAGGTATTGCGTGTAGAAAGTTAGAATCTCCTGTTCTTAAAGAAAAAATCAGTATGAATCATTTAGTGAATGCTTTAAGCAAATCATTATTTTAAGCAAAGATTAATGCTGTTGGTAGAGTCTGTTTGCAAATGCAGAGAAACTAGCAAAATAGTAGGATCCGGAATTTAGATTTCCTATTTTCTGCATGTCCCCCAAGAAGGCGGTGGTGGGGAACAATGGGGCGCATTTTGTTCTCAAGAGAGCGAATGCTGTTTCAGAGTTAAACGAAGGGAAGGCGCAACCCGGCGCAAGTTTAGACAGGAAAAAAAGCCTGCGTCTCCCAGCCTGCCCCAGCTGGCAGGATCATGTTGGAGACTACAGGGCTTTTTCCAGTTTAAACTTGCATGGGATTGTGGACAAGCAAAGCGGAATCCTAGTAATGGTCTGTTTTATGCATGTAGAATCATATGCGTGCACATTTATTTATTTAGACGTTTCTATGCTGCCCCTTGCCGAAGCCTCGGGGCGGCTCACAGCACAAATAAAATACAGTAAAATACAAAAATAACAATATAAAAGAAGTTGCCCTGGCCAGAGAAATAAGCAAATATTGTTAACAATTAAAATGACGTTTAAATAAAAAGGTCTTCACATGCCAGGCTGAACACAGAAAATCGTTCCAGATCTGCGCTGCAACCAATGAAGGCCAAAGACCTCACTGAGGTCCGGCAGCCTGTTCAGTACCATAGCAATGTTTCAAATAATAATGTCTGCTAAAAGGTTTCATGCACTACACAACCCAACAGCTTGCTACCTCGCAGTTTAAACCGTAAACCGTCCAGAGAAAGGTCTCTAAACATAGTATTCAAGAAAATTCAGACATGCAACCCTGTGACCCAGATGTTCTCCCACAAAGCTCAACGTGTTTGGCACATGCAAAAAATGGGCCTCTGTTACTTTTAAACTCAAATGCTGAAAATCTCTTAGCCTTCCTAAGGCAGTTTAGAAGGTGGTGACAGAGTCCCCCCCCCGCCCCCCGTTATGGAACAATCCCCCCTGTGAAACTGATCACCTGTCAATATTGTTCTATATTCAGCACTGGGTTAAGAATTTCTATCTTCCAAAAGTTTGGCATCATATGATAAGTATTTTAATTCTGGTCCTAGATTTCTTATTGTTGATTGAACTTCTGTGTGCATTATATGTTTGTATGTAAGCTGTTTTCATATCATCTACAATACTTTTTAAGTTTTTAAATCTCTGTAAATACTAAGTATTAGCCATAAGGTATTAGAGGAAAGTGCAGCAAAATGAATTTTAAAAATTTAGTACACGGTTGGGGAAATGATCTGGACATTTCAGTAGTTCTCCTCCGAAGCACCCAAAAAAGAGGAAAAGGAAGAGGCTGAAAGTCTCAGAGAGTCTTTGGTTTTCAGTGTGAGTTGCAGAAGTAAAACACCCTTGAAAGAAGGACCTCTGAGTTCTGCAGCTGTTTTCTAAAAGCAGGCTTTTTTTGGATAGTTTGTGAGTCCATCGCTTGCTGGCCTGACCAGGCCTCCAAGGGGGCTGACTGAAAGCAGCATGTGGCTTTTTTGTTATTTATTTATTTATATTGCGATTTATATCCTGCCTTTTTCCTACAAAGGGCTCAAGGCAGCTGTCATCATCCTCCTCCTCCATCTCATCCCCACAACAACAACCCTGCGAGGTAGGTTGGGCCGAGAGGCTGTGACTGGCCCAAAGTCACCCAGTTGGCTCCATGGCCGAGCAGGGACTCGAACCCGGATCCCCTGAGTCCCAGTCCCGTGCTCTTCACCAGCACACCACACTGGCTTTCTCTGATGGCTTCTCTGGTGTCCCGCCTGTTTCTAGGCATGGTTTAGGGTTCCTGTTATGACCTATAAAACCCTACACAGCTTGGGACCAAACTAGCTGAAGGACTGCCTTCTTCCTTATGAGCTTGTCTGGGGTGTCAGATCCTTGGGGAAACCCTTCCTTGGTGCTCTACCATCAGAAATGAATCTGGTGGGGAGAGAAGACGGGGCCTTCTCGGGGCCCACTCCCACCCCTTCCTCACCCATGCACTTCTGCGGGCTGGCAAAGAGCTTTTCGGCACGCATTTATTTATACATTTAGGAAATTTCTATGCCGCCCCATTCGCCGAAGCCTTGGGGTGGCTCACAACACAGATATTTCAATTAAAATAATATACATTAACAGTATAAAATAAGTCGCCCTGGCCAAAGAATGAAATAAATAAATACTGTTAACAGTTAAAATGACATTTGAATAAAAAGGTCTTCGCCTGGCTCCAAAAAACAAATAACGAAAATAAATGTAAGCACGTAAGCTGCTGCTGCTGGGAGATTCATTTCCTGCGGTCTGTTTCCTGTCTTGTATTTACTAATTTACTTGTTTTTATGCTGTTTGTAACAGTTTGTTTTAATCTGGACTTTATTCTTAACTGCAATGTTAAAGTCTGGACTTTATTCTTAACTGCAGTGTTAAAGTCTGGATTTTATTCTTAACTGCCATTTTAAAGTCTAGATTTTATTCTTAACTGCCATTTTGGGACAAAAAGATGAGCTAAAAGTTAATTGAATGTCTGATTGGGAAGGTTTGCGGGGCTTTGGAAACCCGTTGAAGCCAGTTGGTGTGCTTTCAACCTTCAGAAATCCGGCGCATCCCTCAAAAGATAACCTTTGCAAATTCCTGGGATGGTCGGGTTTGGTCTGCGATTGGCAGGGTTCTTCCAGTTTGCTGGGTCCAAATCCCTTCCTTGGTGTGCAGTTGAAGCGATGGCCCTTTGGGGGGAAAACCAAACGACGCAATGGATTGTGTGTCCCGGGGATGCACACTGCTAAACTGCTTGGGCTTCCTTCCCTTCTAGCTTTCTTGACCACTAAAATGGACCAAGAGTCAGAACTTGAATCCTCACTGAGCCAGATCATGAGCCAAGAGACCTTCCAGGACCTGTGGAATACCGTGCTGCAGCCGGGCAGTAGCACCTTCCCGGTGGGTGGCGAGCCGGCACGGCTGGGGGGGGGAGGGGAAGGGGAAGGGGGCTCCGCGGCAACGCTCATCCATGGGGGGAAGCCGCATCGATCGCAACTGCACCCTCTTACTTCCGTGGCAATGTTTGATGCCCTAGGAAAATCGGTTGGATGCTGTGGGACTGTTCTGTTCTGTTTATTTATTGTAAGTTGCCCCGAGATGTTCTGTTAAGGGACGGGATAGAAAAGCTTTTAATCAATCAATCAATCCATCGAAATGGGGAAGGGTGAAAAAGGACTCTGAAATGGCAGGCAAGGGATCCTCAGTTGATCAAGAAAGATGCCCAGGCATTATGGGATGGAGGAAACAGATCAAAATGCAGGGAAGAGCAGAATCTGAGGTCCAACCTCTGGTCCATCTAAGTACGGGCTACACTAACCTTTTCCAAACTGGCACTCGCCAGATATGTTGGGCTACAGTTCCCATCATCCAGGCTGGCTAAGGGTGATGGGAGTTTAGTTTGACCAATCTGTCTGGGGGGCCCAGCTGAGGAAGGCGGCTTCTGCTGGAGGCCGGTGGGGCTCCGGGGGATTCGGCCTGGCTGAGTTTTGTGCAAAATATTTGCAGTCTGCAGAAAATCAAACTTAGAATGAAACGAAGTGTTTAAAACAAGAATGTTGCGCGCCCCCCCCCCACAAAAGACACATGTAAAGATACTCTCCAGAATGAAGAGTAGGCGCCGAGGAGCAACCCAGCATACGGAGGAAATTTAAAAGGCCCTGGGCTGCGGCACAAGGGTCTCTTTCTGCAGCTGAGGTGCCTCCCCCAAGCGAACCTTCCCTGCAGCCGCCAGCCAGATGGTGGGGCACCCAGAGGAGACCGGCATGGAAGGTTCTAGCAGATGGCCAGTTCACGGCAAGCAAGCGGGGTGGTTGCTATTAATTCTGCCTCTGCACTGCCCGGGAGCCGGGGCAGGTCAGGCATGGTGACCCGGGCGCCGGGGCAGCAGCCACGCAGAACGGCCAGGGTGTTTTGCATTCGGACCCTGTCTCGGGATGCCTGCCAGGCCCGCGAGTCCATTCGAAGGCCCCCAGGGCCGGCTCGCCCACGCCGAGGATGGCCACCAGCGCCCCGGCTGCTCGGGATGCTTCCGTTCCGTCGCTGCTCCGCTGTGCGCCGTCGGAAGAGCTGCTGGTGTCGGCCTGCGGGTGCCAACGGGTAGCAGGCGCGCTCCGAAAGCAAGCGGCCCTTGAATCAAGGCAGCTTCCTTGGCCCTGCAGCCTGTTTTTCCCTGGCAGCATGTGGCCCCAGCCAGCACAAGAAATCAGCAGGCTCCGGAGTACCTTGCGCAGTGGCCCATGAGGACCCCCGCACGGGCATAGCACCCCCGCCTGTGTCCCCTCTTCCTCCCTCCCACCTAGCCTACCTCACGGGGTTGTCGTGAGGTAGCACATGGCCCTCAGGACTAGGGGCCACGGAGAGCCTCCTCGTCCTCCACGGAGTTGTCCTCCGGCCCCCTGCGAGGCCAAAGGACATCTTTTCAGAGCAGCCCCCATAATTATGAAACTGGGCTGAGTGCCAGGAAGCAGGCCGCCGGAGCACAGGTGGCGGTCCAGGTGGCCACGCGCGTTGCCGTGTAATAAACATGCCCCACCTGCCCCGCGGCGGGTCGCTCACGTGCCGGTCACGCCCGCTCCCCCGCTCTGCAATTCGGGTGCCTACTGGAAGCCTACCTTACAGGGCTGTTGCTGGAAAGACTGGGGCAACGCAGGTGAAGTCTTTCAGAGTGTTCGGATGCTGAATATGAGGCAGGGACGGACGGGGTTGGAGGGTGACTTTCTGCTCCGCTTCTCCCCGTCCTTCCAGGACCCATGCCAGATAGAGGATGTGACCTTGGGCCTGCCGCCGTCGGGCGAGCTTGTCGACCTGTCCTTCCCGGAAGAGGGGAGATATTCCAGGGCAGAGGAAGATGGAAATCCCATCCCTCCACTGGAAACTGTGGGGCCCATCCAGACCTCCTCCGTCCCTTCCACAGAGGACTATGTCAATGAATACGGCTTCGAGCTGGTCTTTGAGCAGTCGGGGGTCTCCAAATCCATCACCTGCACGGTACAGTTGTGGGGTGCCTGTGCGGGGGGGGGGTGCAGCCAGCTTGGGCCTTGCCGTCATCTCTATTCTGCTTCAGCCATTTGGGGCGGGGGGGAGCATTGCTTCCTACCTGTCTGATCCTGAATTACTCCTGAGTTCTCACAAACAGAATGCAAACGGAAAGCACCTGCGTGTCGGGGCTGCAGCACCTGCGATTGCAGGACTGATCGCCTCATCAGGCAAAAGGCAAGAAATCCCTGCTCAAATCAGAACAGACGCGTGGAGGGAGGAGGGATTCCAGCGGGGTTTCTCCCTGACATGCTAATTTCCACATAAGCAGGGAGAAGCCCACCTGCCGTTTTCAGCCCTATAGCCCGGTGCAAGTTTTGCTGCTGTCGGAACGTCGGGAAAGCCCCGGCGGATCAGACCCGAGCACCACCTGGCCCTGCACGCCGTTCACAGGGAGGCAAACCAGCTGCCCAGCAGATCCTCAGGCAGGAGGGGTGCCAGGCCCCCGCCCGGCTGCTCCGCCATGGTGCGTGCAGGCAGGCCACCCCGGTGAAGGAGGGAGCCCGTGGCCCGCAAGGCTAGCAGCCCCGACAGCCTCCTCCCCAGGAAGCCCTCTGGTCGGTCACCCTTTGGAGCTGTCCAGGTGGGCGGCCGTCACCGCTTCCCCAGGCAGCGAGTTCCACGGTTGATACACGGCGTGACGAAGGATCTCCTCTTATCTGTCCCAAACCCCCCTCCGGCTTCACGGGATGATCCTGGGTTCAAGTGTTATGGGAGAGGGGGGAAAATGCCCCCTCGCCACTTCCTCCACACCCTGCGCTATAGCAAACACCTCCATCATGTCTCCCCTTACAAAGTAATAATAACGGGCACCTTTTCCCCTAAGGCCTCGTCTGGAATGACTGCCCCACAAGTCTTGAGTTGGAATCTTCAGCAGAGACAGTGTGGTGTAGTGGTTAAGAGCGCAGGACTGAGACTCAGGCGATCCGGGTTCTAGTCCCTGCTCAGCCATGGAGCCAACTGGGAGACTTTGGGCCAGTCACAGACTCTCAGCCCAACCTACCTCACAGGGTTGTTGTGGGGATAAGATGGAGGAGGAGATGTAAGCTGCCTTGAGCCCTTTGTAGGAAAAAGGCAGGATAGAAATCGAAAAATAAAAAAATAACATAGAAACAGAGCGAGTTGGAAGGGGCCTCCCGGGCCATCTAGTCTGACCCCCCGGCTCCAGCCGGCTCCGCTCACGACATGCCCACCATGTGGACGTCCAGCCTGTCCTTGAACACCTTCACCGAAGAGGCCCCAACGACCTCTCGTGGAAGCCCATTCCACACCCTCGGGGTCCTGACTGTCAGGAAGTGCTTCCTGGCATCCCAATTGGACCTGGGTTCCCTGAGCTGTGCTCCGTGGGAGCGCGTCCTGCCTTCCTCTGCAGGGGAGAACAGGTCTCTACCCACCTCCTCTGACACCCCCTCACATGCCTGTATGTCACCAATGGATCCCCTCGGAGTCTCCTCTCCTCCAGGCTGAAGAGACCCAGTTCCCTCTGTCTTGCCTCATACGGCTTTCCCTGCAAACCAGCCACCAGCCTTGTGGCCCTGCGCTGCACTGACTCCAACCTGGCTATATCCTTCCTGTAACAAGGGGCCCAAAACTGAGCACAATACTCCAGTTGCGGGCGCACCAGAGTCATGTAGAGTGACAGTGATACCTCTCTCGGCATGAGGTGCTTTTTCAGCCCCCTTCTCTGTCTGCAGCAAAAGACCCCCGATGCCGCCTTTCCCCAGGGAGACTTGCCAGAGTCGGTGGTCTTAGAGGCCCAGCCCTCCTGGCAGTGGGCAGGGCGAGTTTTCCCCTTTGACAAGGGGGGTCTGCAACTCGGGCGCACGTCACTGTGAGCTTCATGTGTGTAAAGAGCCGGAAGCGGCCGCTGCTGCTGCTGTTCTGTTCTTCAGCTCGGGGGAACTGAACCTGCAGTTCACGTGAAATCCTAGTTTGGACTTCTGGGCTTCCCTAGAAGGCCCCCCTCTTTCCCCGATGGCGGGTCGCTGTTTCTCCCGCTCTTGTGTGACCCCCATCCTGAGACGCCAAAATGCTTTTCCCAAGGCTGGCTTACTGCCCGTGGCAACCTTAAGCCTAAAGTTGTGGGCCAGTTTTGGCACACACCTGCCGCCTGTGGCCCTGGAACGAATCCCCCCAGAGGGTCTCAGAAATTAGAGTTCGGACCGCAGGCAGGAAAGAGCTCAAGCTGTCAGCTTGCCCTCCAGATGGGCTGTGGGTGCTGGGAGTTGTAACCCAGCTTGTGGAAGGCTTCCCAAGGAACTGGGCATTGGTATTGTCTTCCAGAGCCCTGACACCCCCCAGCAGATTCAGCTGCCCCCCCCACAGTCCATTCCTTTGCCACTCTGAATAATCCGGCCTCCCCCCGTTCTGCCCATGAATCCCAGAACCGCTCCACCAGCCTACCGTTTGGGGGTCCCTGGGGGTGGCCTGCCGTTCCTCCAGCCCCTCTCTGCTGCCCACCCTTCCTCCTCTGGGGCTGAGCTCCGCCCATCCGGGCCTCGTAGGCGCACCCTCGGGTTCCCCCACATCCCGCCCCGCACCCCCCAGCCTGTTAGACCGGCGGACACGCAGAGCTCCCCTTTCACAGCCTCTTTAAGAAGGATCCGAATCTGAGACCAGGTTCCCCCTCCTGCGCCCCCGGCCCCTCCTGGGCAAGTCCGAGCCTGCTCTGGCTACTCTCCCCGGGCGCATTTGAGCCCCAGCGCCGCTCCGGCAGCTCGTATTGGCTGTGTGTGCGCTGCAGAGAGACGGGGGGGACTGGGGGTCCTGGTTAGAGCCTCCCCCACCACAGCGGAAAGCCCTTGATCTTGCACTGACGGAAAGGTGGGTGCCCAGCGAGCGGACAGTCAAGTTTGCACTGGGGGGGGGGCAGCTGCTGGGCTGCAGTTGGGTTGTGCCCTGGGGGTCCCTGTCCTTGCTCACCCTGGCCCAGGGTGTGGAGCATGGGCTGCTGAATCCCGGGGCTGGAGGAGACTGCCTCCTTCTGGGGCAAGGTCTGCCTGGAGAGACCTATCTTGAGGGATGTGGTTGCTAGAAATCCGTGTGGGAGGTGGGAAGGAGTCGGGAGGCCGATATGGGTGTGTGTGTGTGGGGGGGTGCCAGGCCAGTCAGGAAATTGAGGACAGGAGGAGCCTGGGGGGGGGGGCTCAGCATGGGGTTCTGTTGCAGGGCTCCTGAGTTCGTGCGGATTGGAGCTGAGGGGAGAAGAGGCCCGGGTTCTCCGGAAAGCCACGGGGCTCTGTAACGGGAAGAAACTTCCAGGAAAAATAACCCCCCTCTCCCCGCCCAGTACTCGCCGATTCTGAAGAAGCTCTTCTGCCAGCTGGCGAAGACCTGCAAGGTGCTGATCAAGGTGGACTTGCCGCCGCCCGCGGGCTCCTTCGTCCGCGCCATGGCCGTCTACAAGAAATCGGAGCACATCGCCGACGTGGTGAAGCGCTGCCCCCACCACGAGCGGGCCACGGAGTACAACGACGGTGTGCCACGGCGGGGCGCTGGCGGCGGCGGGGCGGGCGGCGCTCTGGCTCCGAACGGGGCTCTGAGGCCGGGCTAACCCTTCTCCCCCCCCCCCCCGGTGTGTGTCTCGTGGCAGGCGTGGCCCCCGCCGACCACCTGATCCGTGTGGAGGGGAACAGGCAGGCCCGGTACATCTCCAGCGAGGACACGCAGCGCCACAGCGTCATCGTTCCTTACGAGATGCCCCAGGTTATCGGGGGACGCGGCGGGGCGGGTGGCCGGGGGGTGCCCCACGCGGACCCGCTCGCTGCCGGTTTACCCCTGGCCCAGCCGTTGCGCTCTGGCGGCCCCTGCCTGCACAGCACGGCACCCCCCCCACATGCTAGGCTGCGATTCCCATCATCCCCAGCCAGTGTGGCAGCTGCAGCCCCTTGGGCCAGCCGTGCATCGCCCCGTGTGCTTGTTCTAGTCCACTGGATAGGCTGATTAGCCACGGAGGAGCGGGAGGCGACTCAGAGGGGCAAACGGCGGGGCCGTCTCCGTGTGGCCCCCTGCCCTCCTGCCAGCCCCCCGGGAAGTCCAGGTGTCTCAGCTCTGCCAGCGCTTTCCTCATCCGGACAGGCCGCAGTGCCTCGCTTGAGGCTGTGCCCCTCGCGGGGGTCCTGCCTCCGGCCCTTTCGCCCACCCCCCACCCCGGCGCCTCCGGGGGGGCCTGCAGGCAGGGCGTGAGGGCAACCGCCGTCCCCTGTGGTTTGTCTCCAGCGTGCGTGCGGCCTTCTCGGGGACGCCGCCACCCGACGCGGAAGCTCAGTTGTCGGGCCGTTGCAGCGGCCGTCTGTGGATATCGTCACCTGGACGAGGCCGCGCCGTGTCTGGTGGGCTGCCGGCCGTGCGCAGGTCCGGCTGCGGAGGCGGCCAGGCCGGGCACGTCCGGGGCGCCTCCGCCGCTTTCTGTGCTTCTGCGAAACGGGGCGCTCCCGCCCCAGACCCGCCGATTTCCCTCTTGCGCAGAGGCGGCGCTTGCCGCACGACCGGCGCCCGGCAAGTGAGTGTTCCCGCCACCCCCGTGTCTTGTGCGCCACCGGAGGACACGGTTGCTGGGTGGCTTGCGGACGTCAATAGGGCAGTTCCGAAACGGGGCGCCTCCCGGAACGGGGGCTCGTCCCGCCGGTCCCGCAGGTGAGCAGGGGCTCTCGCCGTCCCCCGTCCCCAGATCGCCCCTTCCCTGCCGCGCTGCGGTTCGTGGGCAGAGCGCATTTTCCCGCCGCAGAGCTTAGCAACGTGGAATCGCTTGGGGCGGCTTGCTTCGCCGGGTCCTGCTTGCGCCTGAGCCCCCCAGGGCCGCGGCCCCAGCCTGGTCCAGGGAGCTCCGTCCACAGGTGACCCCGCACACCGCCTGGCCTCTGCCCCCCGGGAGCCGGGACGGGCCGAGACGGCGTCCTCGCAGCCTAATCCCGCCTCTCCGCAGGTGGGCTCGGCGTACAGCACGGTGCTGTACAACTTTATGTGCAACAGCTCCTGCATGGGGGGCATGAACCGGCGCGCCATCCTGACCATCATCACCTTGGAGACCCCTCAGTGAGTACCCCCGCCGCGCTTTCCGCGGGGGCCTGGTGGGCTGGCGAACTGGCCTCCCCGCTCCCCTAACGCGCTCCCCCCCCACCCCAGGGGCCAGCTCCTCGGGCGCCGCTGCTTCGAGGTCCGAGTGTGTGCCTGCCCCGGCCGGGACCGCCGGACAGAGGAGGAAAACTACCAGAAGGCGCCTGGCCGTGACAAGAAATTGAAGAAGGGTAAGTCTCGAAGTGGTCCGTGGGGTCCCGGGGCGGGGGGGGCAAGACGGCCACTCAGCAGCAGGTCTGGGGGGCCACAAGCATGCGAAGGTGGGTGCGTGAGTGGAGAGTGTCGGGCTGGCAGATGTGAGTGTTTTTATCCATCACCTGGTTGTGGGTGGAGCCTCACCTGGTTTGCAGGTGCACAGAGCTTGGGGGAGACCATCGGAGAACGGATGGCGAGTCACTGAATCATGGACTGGCAGGGTTGGAAGGGGCCAGGGAGGCCATCCAGTCCAACCCACTGCTGTTGCGGGACACCAAGTGCCACCATCCCACGGTCTGGAGTCGGAAGGCTCTAGACGGGCTGGAAAACTCAGCCGATCCGACACGGAGATAAATCCGAAGTCTTGCATTTGGGTGCCGGAGCGCCAAAGACACAGGTGTGGGGCGGAGTATCCCACCTTGGTGGAGCACACGTGACCCACACGTGAGCAGGGCTGGGCCCCGCATCTGGCCCAGGCTGCTCAAAGCTGCCGGAAGGGCTGGTGCCGTCCGAAAGCAGCATCGGGTCCGGGCCACAGGCAGCCCTGGTGCCGCTGCGTTCTGTATGAGCTGGGCCTGATCCTGGCAGCCCCTCCCACTCCATGATTCTGAAAACCCTGCATTGCTGGCCTGCAGAGACCGCTGCACATGTGAAAGGGCCTGGACAGAAGAGGCAGAAGGCTGGTGCATCATGGGAGTTGTAGTTCACATCTGGGGAGAACGCTGGTATGGGGGCTGGAGAGGCCTCCGTCTCCAGCATCCAGCGACTTCCTCCTCCCGCAAAGCTGAAAGGCGATTTGGGAGAGGCAGGAGTGGGGGACTTGGATTTTGGGTTTGGTGGAGGAATTTGCCAGGGCGGCAAGAGTGGGGACTGGTTCCCCCTCAGCCAGGAAGCTCAGTGGGTGACTTCAGGCCGCCTCGCCTACCCCACAGGGCCGTCGTTAGGGTAAAAGAGAGCTGTGTACACAGTTTCCCAGAGGAGGAGAAAAGGGACACAAATCTGAGGATGAGGATAAATGGAATGATTCAGGGATACTTCCAGTTTCTCTGCCCTGGAGAGGTCCATTTGAGGCCGGTGAGCTGTCCACGAGCCCCATGGCTCCTCTTAAATTCTTCCCCTCTGCCTCCTCCTCTTTCTTCCATCCAGCTCTCCCACAAGGCAGTGTGTCCGAAAACTCGAAGAAGGTTGCAAAGACCGGCACCAACGCCTCTGAAAGCGGAACGTACACTCTCCAGGTGAGGGTCGTGTCAGAGTCGGCTGGAAAAGTCCACTTCCTTAATCCCGCACAAATGTCTGCCGGCGACGGCCTGATGGGCAGGATTTTGCAGGGGTTTATTCTGCTTCGTTAGCCTTTGTGCAAAGGGGGTGTGAAATTGGGCAGGAATGCCGTGGATTCCAGGCAGAGAGCCATAGAGGTTTGCTTCTGATTCAGGCAGACCTGCCTGGTCCGTGCGGCTGTCCCCGCAAGAGCCACTTGTCCGCAGCCTGGATCAGACCCTTTCCCCCAGCTCACAGCCTGTGTTCAGCTTCTCTCCCCTCTTTCTTTACAGATCCGCAACCGCAAACACTACCAAATACTGAAACGGTTACTGGAGGCCCTCGAATTTCAAGAATTGTGGCAACCAACAGAAGCAGAGAGCCAAAAGCCAGCCAAGGGGTGAGCAAATTGACCCTTCTTTCCCGGCACATGCAGGGGCGCTAAGCGGAGGGCGCTGCTCATACAAAGCCCGTGTGGGTCTTCTGCGAGGCAGACCGAAAATCTCTGCAGAGGCACACAAATCAGTGGGAACGGCTTCCCCTTTCCATTGGCTCGACCCTCTGAGGGAGGAAACTGCCTTGCTTCTGCCAAAAAGTAACTTGGCTCGCTCACTCGAGCAACGCAAACCTCAAAGTGCTCGCTGCTCTTTTAGATAACGGCCCCATCCTTGCTGTTGCTCTCTTTGTGTTGTCTGTGTGTTTTATCCAGGCTCCTAAAAGCCCAAAAACAAGATGCCTCGCCCAGCTCATTTAGAATGGAACACTGCTCCTCTGCATTTCAGGAAGAAAGCGATGAAGACGAGGAACCTGGCCCTGTTCAAAAGAAACTGAAGAAGGAAAATGAGGACTAGCACCATTCCTAGCCCCCTCCTTTGTCTAATTTGGACCTTTTCTATCCCCCACCCAATCCCACCTGCTTTTCCCAATTTGTCTGTCTGAGAGCGCAGGTTGTCTGTCAAGCAACACGTTCTCCTGATGTGGGGGGCTCCTGGGACCACCCGCTAATCCCCGCAGCTCCCTCTCTGACCACGAGTTCAGGGAAGTATGTAGCCAGTCTTTCTCAACATAGTGTCTTCCAGATGTATGGGACTACAACGCCCATCATTCCCTCCTAGCAATATTGATGGTTTCCCTCACGGTGTCAGCCAGAGGGGTCTGTTTCCAACACCGCTCCTCTTAGGAAGCCAGCAATACCAAGGAATCACCACTGCCATATTGATTGCCAGCTATTATGGGCTGGCGGTGTTTCCAGCTAGCTGGGCTAGAAAAACTGGGTTGTTTGGGGCTGGTCCCTGCTAGCAGCCCCTTCCCTCTTCCAAAAGAAGGAATTTTCTAATGTGTTGATTTCTGTTCCCCGAAATCCAAAGTGACACTACAATTCCTTCCACCCTGCACAGTATTTAAGCATCATGTTTACCTCCCCTCACACCCAGCCCCCTTCTTGTATAAGTTTTAGTTCCTTAGATTGCCTTCTGATTATTTTTTGTATCAGCCCATTTTTTTTTGTACTTTAATAAATTTCCTTTCTGAAAAGTGGGGTGGGGGTGAACTCTAAAAGAGAGACCGGCAGAAGTGCGAACTCTCCATGATATACTGAAGAAAGAGGCCTTCTGGCTCGCGGTGGTTTCAGAAAAGCCATGGCTAGTAGCCATGCCTGTTGTGGCTCCCAGGGGCATTCCATGCACCCAGTAAGAATTCCTTTGCTGCTCTGAATCGGTGTTTTTCACATTGTCCCACTACAGAAAGCTCTTCTTACCGCCCATAGCCAAAGCTTTCTGGGTGATTCATAGATTAAAACTTCCCCAAAAATTTGTGGAATCTTCGCCTCCCAGCGACAAACGCTGGACGTGGGAAAGCCCCGTTGTTGTGGGAAGAAAGGGGTGCGCCATTACGGGTGCGGTTGATAAAACTCCCTGTTTGCAGTGTCCTTCCATTTAGGCTGGGGAAAGGGGGCCTCTGCTCCAACTCGGGAGCCGGGGATGCGATACCAGCCACGAGGTTCATTAATGCAGCTTATTGAGCTGGGATGGCTTGCGGCTCCCGGCTCCCGTGGCCTTGCTCCACGTGGATCCCAGGTCCACTAAGTAGCACCGGCAAAGGCTTCTCGTTGCGACGGGAACTGCTGCTCTATACTGCAACGTTCCGTCTTTTAAAGCCATCTTAGGTAGATGCGAGCATTTTAATCTTTACAGTGTTCAAATCTATAAAGTCTTTCCAAAACAAGCTTTGAAATGCATACACTGGATTTGGTCATGGTCACTTGCCTTTGGAGCACGGCATTACATGCTTTAGGGTGCCTGGATGAGGGTACAATGCAAAAGGGAAAACCATGCGATAAATTCCATAGTAAGGCAGAGTAGAACACGCAAAATGTGAAGCAGCTAAAGTAAAATCCAGGGCGAAAGTGGGCAACCAGGCCAAGATCTAAGAAGGCACAGAAGCCAGTTTAAATCTGAGAAGCAGACGCGGAACCTTCTTCCAGGGTACATGGAACGGGTGGGGGATGTGTCGTGGTCAGGACTGCTGACCTGGGACTCGGGAGACCCGGGTTCAAGTCCCCCCTCAGCCATGGGTGACCTTGGGCCAGTCACTGCCTCTTGGCCTGGCCTACTGTGCAGGGTGGTTGCGAAGATAAAATTAAGAAAGGACACCTTGGTAAGTTGCCATGGACTCCTTGCAAAATGGGATATAGATGCGATATAATAAGGATAACGACCGCGCTCATCGTGGGCTGTGCTGCGTGGAGCTGCTGGAAGTTGCCACCCCAAAACCTCTGGCAGGCTGTGTGTGACCCACGCCATCCAGAAGTGCTTTCTCTTTGGGGCAGCAGGTGGAACCGAACCGTTACAAACCTGGTAGCTAAGCAAGAGGTGAGAAGGGCAGCTGCCCACCTTGGAACACCTCAAGGGCCACAGGTGCTGTGGCAACATGGCTGGTGTCGGCTCTGGGCCGGGGGGGGCCATGGCAGGGCTGTCTGGGTGCCCCCCCAGCCCTCCCCAGCTCGGCCAAAGGTGGTGGGAGCTGCAGGGCTGGTCACCCGCCTCGGCTCCAGGCCACGCAGTCCCTGCAGAGTCTTCGCGTGACGGTCCAAGGCCAGAAGGGTCTGGCGCCAGCGGGGGCTCCGTGCCCGGAGGGTCCTCCGGAGAGCGAGTGACTGGCGCCCTTCCTCCCCTGGGGATGGCGTGTCGCTCAACAGGTCTTCCCAGCCCTCGCTGTTCGCTCGGTGCAGCTTTTGTGTGCAGATGTGCTTGACGCCTGAACTGCCAACAGAGGGGGGGGGGGGGGGGCGCGAACCACGCAGGCCAGGAGCGCGATCTGCCGTCGGGAACCTGAGAAGCTGCGGGCGCCGAGCCCCATACTGCCAGCACTGGCGGGCAGCAGCACATCTCCGGCGAGCCTGTTCCCGCCGGCGCAGAGAAGCCAGGGATGGAGCCTGGCGCTTCCGCAGGCCAAGAGGCTGCTCCGCGAACACGTGGCAGCCCCCCTCCCCAGGTGCCCCCTGCCTCGCCCCGCCGAGGCCTTCTTGGGGTCGGCACCCACCCTCGCCTTCTCCCCGGGAAGACTCCGGCCTTTGGCAGCCACTCTTCGCACCGGGTGCCCTCCGGCAGCGCTGCCCCAGCACTGCCCCCGGCGGAGCCCGGGCCCTGCTCCCGGGGGCGCAAGGCGTGCTGGAGGGGCTTCGGCGCGGGCCTCCCCCGCGAGGAGCCGCCGGCGCTTCCCGCGGAGCGCGGCAGTCCCAGGCGGCGCCGGCAGGCGGCACCGTCGCGCCGGGCGGAAGGCCCCGCGGCCCCGCTTTGGCAGCGTCCATTCAGAGCGAAACTGGGCCTCGATGAATGGGCGCGCTTGGCGCGCTTGCAAAGGGGAAGGAGGCGGGCGGGCGGTTGGCAGCCTCTCCGGCAGGGATGCCCCGCTCGCCTCTGCCCGAGCCAGAGCCCTGCAGCCCCCCTCTCCGCTGGCCCCGAAAGGGGGTCTCGAGACCCCCGCACAGCGGGGTCAGAAAGGGGGTCCACACGGGGGCGGGGGCTGCGCAACGGCAAGCCCCCCCCCTCACTCTTCGCAGGACCGTCCGGGTCTCCGGCCTGTGATGGCACGACGTGGGAGAGCGCCTGGCGGGGGCCGGGGAAGCGGAGCCCGCTTTCATTCTCCTCCCCCCCCCCCGCCCCCCCCCCCCCCCGTGCCGGGGGCCGGCCAAGTTTCTGCAGCGAGTGAGCAGAGCTGGGCCTCTCTCTGCGCCCTTCCTCCGACCTTGAAGGCGCTCCCGGCGCGGGGCCTGCGCAACTTTTGCAGGGCGAGGCAGGCGCCGCAGCGCCCCCCGCATCCGCCCCTTCCCTGGCTAAGGGGCAGAATGCGGGACCTGATACTGGAAGCGTCCTAGAAGCGGGAGCCTTCCCCGAAGGTGCCCAGGGGCCACCCGGCCGAGCTGCACAGTCCTCCCGCGTCCCTTGCGCCTCCCCGGAAGGGCTCCCACCCGCGCCCCTGCTCGACATGGAGTTCTCTTCATCTCGTCCTCTGCCATCTTGCTTCTGCCGGGCTCGGGATCGTATGATACGCAGCGCTGCACCAGCGGGGCGGTGAAAACGTCTGCATCTTACTGGACTCCTTTTTGGTTTAAGAAAAACAAGTTTCTAGCCCCCATGCCCGCCATGGTATGAAGCCAGAACGTGGCCAGCACGGCAGGGCAGCTCCTTCCTAGCCGGGCGCTCCTGGATCATTTATGCAAAGCAGGGAAACATGCAGGTTTAGCAGGCCCACCCCCAGCTTAAAAGTTCAACGGGGGAGCCAAAATAGGAGGGCTCAGCTCATCTGGCTTTCAGGCCGTTGAAAGACAAATGTGGAAGCTGTTTTAATGGTGTTTTAAGGCAACCCTGACCCAGGCGGAGGGGACGCAGTTCTGGTGCGAAGGGAGGTTTGCGCGTCCAGGCCCGAAGGAGCGCTGGAAAGCGCCGCTCTCGATGCCCGAAGCTCGTGGGAAGAGACGAGGCGGCGCAGCGGGGCAAGCGCGCCCGAACCTATTGCCCCCCCGCGTACCTGCGCGGTCCCCCCCCCCTTCCCCATGCAGATGCTGAAATGGGTCCTTGCCGGGCGTTTTCTTCGTTGCTTTATTCCCCAGCATTTTGCGAGACGCCCCCCCCCCCGCAACGCCACTTCTTAAAAGCCACCGACTCCCCAGGGGAAATAGATGGCGGGGCAGCGGCTTTTTACCGGAGGCTCTCTTTGCTCTGTCTACAGGCCACGGCGGGGCGGCGGGGGGGGGAAAAAGACTGCCCAAGCCGCCGCCGCCGCCCTCCAGGAAGGCCAGATAATCCACCCCACCCTAAGGAAAATCCCATAAGCCGCCGCCGCCAGCGATCTTCCTCTGTCCTTGCAGAAGGATTAGTTGACCACATAGAGAGTTAACCCCTTCAGTGCCAGGGAGGCGGGAAAGGGGGGGGGTCGTCGCTCTGACGCGCCGAGCGGGGGCGGGAGAAGGAAGCGACACGCGGCTGTTTTGCAGTGGCCCTAAATCCCAAGGGCGGAGACCCTCCAGCCTGGAGACAAAAACTGGCCCCTGGGGGCCCCCATCCAGCCTCTGCAGTTCTGCAGAAGGTCACGCCCCTCCTTCGCCCCCCTCCCCCCCCCAACACCGGGCATCGGTGGTCTCCCTGCCTTTCCACAGTTGCTCCCCTTGGAAAGGCTGCCCACGCTTCTCGGAAGACCGTCGGAAAGGGCCTTCAGTCCGGGAGAGTGGCCCCTCCCCTTTCTGCCGTAGGCCCCGCCCACTGCCCGGCTGCAGCCTCAGCATCTCCGAAAAGGCATTTGGTCGAGGCGGAAAGAGGTCGGACGCTTCGGTGTGCTTACCTCGTGAGATTCCTGCCTGGGGGTGGGGGTTGTGTGTGCCCCCCAGCGCATAACCTGCAGGGCTGGCACTGCGCGTACACACATCACGCGGTGGGACACGGGGTGAGTCGCCCCGTGCCTGTGCAGCCGGAGAGGGGTAGGTCTGGGGACCAGCGTGCGGGCAGCAGCGATGGGAGATGCTTCGGCTGCTGAGGTGTGGCTTGGCCAAGGCACAGGAGCAGAGCCGGGATGGGCAGGGTGAAAGTTGGCAACGGCCTCTGCCAGAAAGCCGCCCTCGGATGCGCTGGGCCGGGCCACAAGCACTCTGCCTCCGACCGCCCCACCCCATCCATCCAGCTCCCTCCGTTTCAGACGCCAGAGAGTTCCTGGGCATGGACAGAGGGACGTGGGACCAGGAAGAAGCTGCCATGGCATCGATTGGGGGAGGGGGGTCTGCTGCAGATGTCCAGCTTGAAAAGGAATTTGTGGGTGTCTCTGGAGCTTGCAGGCTGTGCCGGTCCCGAGGCAGAATCGGTGCGGCTTCAGGGTCCAACCTGAGCCGATTTCAAAGCCCCACCGCAGGCTGGACAGGCTCTCTTGTGTGACTCCCTCGTGCCCGCCAGGCCTCAGGCGCCACAAAACGCCCACTCATTTTTTGTCGGGAGCTGCGAACTGGGTAAGAGCGCCAGACTGATGCTGACGAGCCTTCTGCCTTC